CCAACGAGTTGTGCGTTCCGAGATGCTGTTCTGCACACCACTGTTGTACTGCGCCATTATTTGTCTATTTGTGGCCCGCCTGTTAGCTTGCACGATTCTTGCCATTCTCCTTCGACCTCTCTCATCAACGAGCTGTTTTCGCACACAGGACTGCCTCTGACAGAATGTTTTTTGTTTGTCGCACCATTCTCTGGAAACCCTAGACACTGTCGTGCGTGAAAAGCAACAGGAGGTTCACTCGTTTTGGTCACTCGTTTTTCCCTTTCAAACATTTAATCGAACAGTAACTGAATACCTCGATGCCTGTCTGCCTGCTTTATATAGCAAGCCCCGGGCCACGTGACTCAGTCTGTAGGAACAATCAATTTTCGTGAACGGGGTGGTGTGCCTAATAAACTGGCCGGTGAGTGTATATTTAGGGTCAATATATATTTAGGTTCAATCTATATAAAGGGTTAATCTATATAGGGCCAATCTACACTCAGGTCCGTAAGTATTTGGACAATGACGCAATTTGCATAATTTTCGCTCTATACGCCACCACAATGGATTTGAAAGGAAACAATCAAGATGTGCTTTAAGTGTAGACTTTCATCTTTAATGTAAGGGTTTTGTCAAAATTATTGTATGAACTGTGTAGGAATTACAAATAATTTTATACATAGCCCCCCAATTTTAGGGGCTCAAAAGTAATTGGACAAACTAACATAATCATAAATTAAATTGTGAGCTTTAATACATGGTTGCAAATCCTTTGCAGTCAATGACTGTATGAAGTCTGGATCTATAGACATCACCAGATGCTGGGTTTCTTCCCTGGTGATGCTCTGCCTTTACTGCAGCTGTCTTCAGTTCCTGCTTGTTCTTGGGGTGTTTTGCCTTCAGTTTTGCCTTCAGCAAGTGAAATGCATGCTCAATGGGATTCAGGTCAGGTGATTGACTTGGCCATTGCAGATCATTCCACTTCTTTGCCTTAAAGTATTGGGTTGCTTTCGCAGAATGCTTTGGGTCATTGTCCATCTGCACTGTGAAGCACCGTCCAATGAGTTTGGAAGCATTTGGCTGAATCTGAGCAGGTAATATAGCCCTAAACACTTCATAATTCATCCTGCTGCTTTTGTCAGCAGTCACATCATCAATAAATACAAGGGAATCCGTTCCATTGGCAGCCATACATGCCCACGCCATAACACTACCTCCACCATGCTTCACAGATGAGGTGGTATGCTTTGGATCATGAGCAGTTCCTTCCCTTCTCATCATTCGGGTACAAGTTGATCTTTGTCTCATCTGTCCATATGATGTTGTTCCAGAACTGTACAGGCTTTTTTTTTTTGACGTTTTTTGGCAAACGCTAATCTGGTCTTCCTGTTTTTGAGGCTTACCAATGGTTTACATCTTGTGGTAAACCCTCTGTATTTACTCTGGTGAAGTCTTCTCTTGATTGTTGACTTTGACACAGATACGCCTACCTCCTGGAGGGTGTTCTTGATCTTGCCAACTGTTGTGAAGGGGTTTTTCTTCACCAGGGAAATAATGATTCTGTCATCCACCACAGTTATTTTCCGTGGTCTTCCAGGCCTTTTGGTGTTCCTGAGCTCACCAGTGCATTCTTTCTTTTTAAGAATGCACCAAATAGTTGATTTGGCCACACCTAATGTTTTTGCTCTCGCACTTATGGGTTTTTGATTTTTCAGCCTAATGATGGCTTGCTTCACTGGCAGTGACAGCTCTTTGGACTTCAAATTGAGGGTTAACAGCAACAGATTCCAAATGCAAATGCCACACTTGAAATCAACTCTAGACCTTTTATCTGCTTACTTGTAAATTAACTAACGAGGGAATAACACACACCTGGCCATGGAACAGCTGAGCAGCCAATTGTCCAATTACTTTTGGTCCCTTAAAAAGGGGCTGACCACATATAAAAAGTGCTGTAATTCCTACACAGTTCACCTGATTTGGATGTAAATACCCTCAAATTAAAGCTGAAAGTCTGCACTTTCAGCTCATATTCATTATTTAATTTAAATGCCAATATGCTGTGGTAGACAGCTAAAATAATAATAACTTGGTCAATGTCCAAATATTTATGGACCTGACTGTATATAGGATCAATCTATATATAGGGTCAATCTATACAGAACAAAAATATAAACACAACATTCAACAATTTCAAAGATTTTACTGAGTTACAGTTCATATAAGGAAATCAGTCAATTGAAATAAATAAATTAGGCCCTAATCTATGGATTTCACATGACTGGGAATACAGATATGCATCTGTTGGTCACAGAACCTTTTTTTAAAAAGGTAGGGGCGTGGATTAGAAAACCAGTCAGTATCTGGTGTGGCCACCATTTGCCTCATGCAGCGCAACACATCTCCTTCGCATAGAGTAGATCAGGCTGTTGATTGTGGCCTGTGGAATGTTGTCCCGCTCCGCTTCAATGGCTATGCGAAGTTGCTGGATATTGGCGGGAACTGGAACACAATGTCAAGCCCTAGCATCCCAAACATGCTCAATGGGTGACATGGTGAGTTTGCAGACCATGGAAGAACTAGGACATTTTCAGCTTCCAGGAATTGTGTACAGATCCTTGCGAAATGGGGCCATGCATTATCATGCTGAAATATGTGTGATGGAAAATGTTATCCTGTGAAGAGACAGCCTTGAAAATGTTAATCTTGTTTTAGTGTCATAAATAATCCTTGGTTCCTGCCTGTGCTTGGTAAAGATATGAGGGTGAGGGTGGGAGGGGTGCGACATGACCTCCTCCTTAGGACCATCTGGCAGAATGCCCAGAATATGTTCTATAAATTAAGATGGGAGACAGTGCCAGACACATGCCGGAACCAACCCTATGAACTATGCCTATGTAACGTGTCTGTAACCAGTATATAAGAGATCTAACGGGACTGCCCCGAGAGAGCTCCTGATCAACATGTGTACTTGGTGCATTGAGTTGGTTGGAATCTATCCAGCGAGCTGATGATAAAGAATGATGGAGGCGGCTTATGGTAGAGAAATTAACATTAACTTCTCTGGCAACAGCTCTGGTGGATATTACTGAAGTCAGCATGCCAATTGCACACTCCCTGTGGTCCCTGGTTCACATTCCATGTTTCTGATTGGAGGAGGACGACGTCAGATCCACTGACCTCCATAGCACTGTGGATGTTGTAGTTGTTGCCTCTGGGGCCATTGGACTGAATGGCAGGGTCCTCTGTGATGGCTGCCGCCAGTTGTGTGGTTAGCTCTCTACTGCCCTCCACTGTTCTGGCTGGGTGGCTGGAAGCTATAGAAATGCATTTATAATTGTCTACATTTGTTTTTGCCACGTTTATTCTATAATGCACCTTAATGCATACTTTTAAATTATATTATGTGAGCTAAACATAAAAATGAAAAAATATAAAATCTTCTTTAAAGTATAATTTTTTTTGATTACTAATGTTACGGTCCCCACTACAACAACACAAATACATGTAATTTTATCCTTGAAACATTTATTTGAAACACTGTAGAATTCCATTCATTCCTATGGAAGACTGCTCCTACTGGGGAGTGCCAATATGGCCGACCGGTGGCTTCAAAGACTGTCAATGGCCAATACATACTCTGTAGCTCAGCTGGTAGAGCACGGCGCTTGTAACGCCAAGGTAGTGGGTTCGAACCCCGGGACCACCCATACACAAAAAAAAAAAATGTATGCACGCATGACTGTAAGTCGCTTTGGATAAAAGCGTCTGCTAAATGGCATATTATTATATTATTATTATATTATTATTATTATTATTATTATTATTATTATTATTATTATTATTATTATCAGCAATCCAGGGTTTATATACATAATAGACGCAAAAACCTCGAAAAAGCATGTGTCCCATAGGCCTAAGATTCTTTACTTGTGCATTCGTATTCCATGTATTCCATTCTGGTTTGTTTCTGACAATCATTTGTCCTGTTCTGCTTTAAGCTTTAAGTGTTTGCGGTTCGGTTAGGTTCCGACATATTGTGCAAGTGTTTGTCACGTGCAAATTGCATCAGTATTGAAAGTACAAAACGGAAATACAAATGATATACAGACCAGCATACCAAAGATATTTATTCTATCTGTGAGCATACTGAAGCTCGGGTTGATAACACCTTCTTGTGGATATTTTGTATCAGATTACTTCTGACACAGAGACAAAATCGGCGGACAACAGGTCAAGTAAATTGAAATGAAGTTTGTTCAACATTCTGACTTGTAATGGGACTGTTCGGCAATGCTGAGCCTACATGTTAGAGACGAGTGCGTAATTATTTCACTCTCGGATTCTAAAAAGAGGCTATAATCTCACCAGACATTTGAATACGATCAGAACGGCAAGGGTTCCATGCTTGCAGTTGCCTTCTCTGTGTCACACTCCATCGTCAGGGGCTTCCTGTTCGGTTCATGGCTACACTCCATTTCCACACGAAGAGCAGCGTAGCTTTCTTCCATTATTTGACACACTGCTCATACGGCTGTTAATGGTAAAGTTTCCATAACGGAAGCTACACGCGCACGAAAAATGACTTAGTTGGACGTCTTTGTTATTATTTAGCTAGTAAACAAACTTTCCCGAGCAAGACCCTTTTCCGTGGTTAAACAATCTACTTCCGGAGACAATTTACCGTAAACACTGAGATCACAGAGTTGTCTTTGCAGAGATGAAGCTAAATGTATTACTCTCATCCTCTAAATTGGTTTATTTCTCAAAACTTTATCACAGAGAACCTTTTAACTTTAAGCATGTTCGTTGTGAAAATCTTAGTTTGCTCCACAAATACTGTATGAATTTATGCTATAAAAACGTTAACCTTTTTAGACAACAACAACCAACATGAACAAATATAACAATCTGCAGTCAAAAATAACAGGTAACAACCTTTAAGACAGAGCAATCATACACTTCATTCAATTTACAATAAATTCAGAAAACACAATCCCAAATCAACACAACACAACCTATAATTTACGTGCATGAACTGCCTGGTGTCTTATTAGATTGCTCAGAAAGGAGAAGTTCTTTCCACACTGGGTGCAGTGGAACAGTTTCTCACCCGTATGGACGCTCTGATGCACTTTTAGGTTGCTGGAATGAGAGAACTGTTTCCCGCATTGAGCGCATCTGAAAGGTTTCTCCCCTGTGTGTACTCTCTGGTGCCGCTTCAGGCTGCACAGCTGGCTGAACTGCTTCCCACACTGGGCGCACTCGTACGGTTTCTCCCCTGTGTGGACCCTCTGGTGCATCTTGAGCTGGCACTGATGAGGGTACTCCCTCCCGCAGAAGGTGCACCTGTAGGACCTCGCCCCCTCGTCCCCCACCCCTCTGTCCTGATGAGTCCCAGTCATGTCACCCAGGTGGGTGTCGGGGGCGCTCCCAGGGAAATCCACCCAGGAGGGGTACTGCAGCTCTCCGGTTCCCGTGGCGAATGGAGCAGTGGCGGTGGTTGCGGGGTTCTGAAAGGTGCCAAGGCGGTTGTCGAAAGCGCCGTCCATGCCAATGGTGTAGAACAGATTCTCATGTGAGTTCTGTCGCGCTGCTGCCTGGACACCTGGGTGAGAATGATGATGATGAGTGTTACTCCAATGTCCTCCAAGAAGCATGGCATCTGCTTCACTATGTCCTCCTTGATGATGCCTGGGTTCCATGATGTCACCTTGTCTCCAGGAAGAGGGCGTGTCATCCCCACCCTCCCCCTCGTCAACAGGAAGGGGGTCGATAACTATGACCTCAGATTTGACCTCTGAACCGCCCTGGGAATTCTCGTGTTCACCCCTCACCATCTGAGGAAGTGGGGGAATGGGGTTCACCTTTGTGAGAGGCGAGGGGCTTCCTGAGACTGTCTCGGCAGCATAACTAGAACAAGATGGCCGCTCAGTCACTGTATCACTGCCTCTTTGCTTACGGGAGGTTCCAGGCAGATCGGTTGTTCTCTCGGGGTTCAGGCTGCACTTCTGTTTAGCAACAGGTCCTGGACCTGTGAGTTGGAGCGCCTGGCTCAGCCTCTCAGGCTCCGTGTCTGACCTGTTGACATTCACTATGATGTGTTTGGTTCTGAGCTGCTCAGTGAGCTCTGCTTGGTCTGTGTCTGGAGAGGTCTGTGTGTTTGGGTCTGTCATTATCTGGCCACTGTCAGTGCCTGAAGAGACAACAAAAGCATGATGGTCATATGCAGTCAAATAAAACAATGAGGTAGTCAATCAGTATGTCATTTTTCCTTACAGCCACCATTACAGCAATCCATTCAGCATTACCTGGCATCTCCCTCAGATCCTCTTCTTTCTTCCATGGCTGGAGGTCTCTCGCCCCTTCCACAGTAGATTTGGCCTGAAAAGAGGAGGGAGGAATTAAGTTGACAGGCATGAGCCTTACAAAGCTCTCAAACAAATACAGGTCTATTATAACTCCGCTATGACTAGGCTATATTATTGATCCAATGGATTGAATTAAGTTGTTAATTTACTGACTAAACTCATGGACACAGCAAATCTAAAGCTTCTCTGTCCTCAAAACATATAAAACTCAAATTGGACTTCAATAATTCACTGTACTTATAATAGGAAAACGTCCTTTCCTTCCAATATATTTAGGTCAATGTGAGAATATACACTACCAGTCAAAGGTTTGGACACACCTACTCATTCAAGGGTTTTTCTTTATTTTTACAATTTGTTACATTGTAGAATAATAGTGAAGACATCAAAACTATGAAATAACACATATGGAATCATATAGTAACCAAACAAGTGTTAAACAAATCAAAATATATTTGAGATTCTTCAAATAGCCACCCTTTGCCTTTGACAGCTTTGCACACTCTTGGCATTCTCTCAACCAGCTTCATGAGGTAGTCACCTGGAATGCATTTCAATTAACAGGTGTGCCTTCTTAAGTTAATTTGTGGAATTTCATTCCTTCTTAATGCGTTTGAGCCAATTAGTTGTGTTGTGACCAGGTGACATACAGAAGATAGCCCTATTTGGTAAAAGACCAAGTCCATATTATGGCAAGAACAGCTCAAATAAGCAAAGAGAAACGACAGTCCATCATTACTTTAAGACATGAAGGTCAGAGTAATACGGAAAATGTCAAGAACTTTTAAAGTTTCTTCAAGTGCAGTTGCAAAAACCATCAAGCACCATGATGAAACTGGCTTCCACAGCATTCTGTAGCGATGCGCCATCCCATCTGGTTTGCGCTTAGTGGGACTATCATTTGTTTTTCAACAGGACAATGACCCAACACACCTCCAGGCTGTGTAAGGGCTATTTTACCAAGAAGGAGAGTGATGGAGTGCTGCATCAGATGACCTGGCCTCCACAATCCCCTGACCTCAACCCAATTGAGATGGTTTGGGATGAGTCGGACTGCAGAGTGAAGGAAAAGCAGCCAACAAGTGCTCAGCATATGTGGGAACTCCTTCAAGATGAAGATGGTTAAGAGAATGCCAAGAGTGTGCAAAGCTGTCATCAAAGCAAAGGGTGGCTATTTGTAGAATCTTAAATATAAAATATATTTGGATTTGTTTAACACTTTTTTGGTTACTACATGACTCCATATGTGTTATTTGATAGTTTTGATGTCTTCGCTATTATTCTACAATGTAGAAAATAGTAAAAATAAAGAAAAACCCTTGAATGAGTAGGTGTGTCCAAACTTTTGACTGGTACTGTATATTTAGAGTCAAGAAGCACTATGAAATTATTTGAAAAATATTATTTATTGATGGAATTATAGAAATTGATAAACATGCAGCAATAGCCATTGGTCAAATTGGTACAAAAGAACAGTTTTTCACTCTCACAGTACAATTTCAGTATCTGCCATAACTTTAGAGAACCAACCATTATCAACCTTAACAGACAATGTGAGTGATCCTGTTGACACTAAAAGAGCCAAGGAGACAAAAAAACGTAACAGTCTTTGTAGATAATGTAAATATGAACCACGTTGTATTGTAGATGTATGAGACCAGGGCAAACATCCTGCAGACATATGACTACGTTAGAACTCATGATATTGCTATAACAGCATTTTTCAATAGGAATCTCTTGCTTCTGTGTCAGTTGTCAATGATGAAGCTTCTGATGTCTTTTCAGATTGCTGGAGTGGGAGAACCTGCGCCCGCACTGTGCACAACTGAAGGGCTTCTCTCCAGTGTGTACGTTCTGGTGCATTTGGAGATGGCTGGCGCCCTCAAAGCTCTTCTCACAGAAGGTGCAGGCAAACCCCCGCTTTCTGGTCTGGATGGCAGCGTGCTGCTGCAAGTCACTCCCGTGGACAAACTTCTTATGGCAGCTCGGGAAACCGTATGGTCGTTCTACGGTGCCTGGTCTAACGTGTGTGGCGAGATTACTCGAGTGACAGGAAGTTGTGGCGCTTGGTCTAAATTGGCTGACAGGAAGTTGGGTATGAGCTGGTTCTTGAGCTCCTCTTCCTGGTATTTCAGAATGTCTATGGAGGCTTGCCAACGAACACCAACTAGCTTTGTTAGCATCACCTGCATTTCCTGTGCCAAGATGCATGCCTGTATTTATCTCTGAGGGCCGGTAGCTGGGTGAAACCAATTGCATAGTGTTGTCTCTCATCGATTCGGGGTGAATCATTGGTGCGTTTCTGTTAAACACTCCCACTCCCTGCTTATGTCCAGTCCCATTGACCTGTGGTGTAGTAGCTGTACCCACCTGACCCCACTCAAAATCTCTATCTACCTGCTGCCCACTGGATACAGAGTCAATCACTATCACATGTTCTGATGAGGAATGGAACCTGTGGTTTTCTAACCTTACACTTCTCATTTCTATGGTAGAGCTAGTCTGCATTTCTGAGCCCACTGGGACACTCCCTAGGTCCATTACTTTAGTGTGAGCAGCAGAGGCACCATCATCAGTCACTACTACCTCTCTCCACACCTGGTTTAAAGAATCTCTTAGAAGATTGAGGCCCCCGTTCACGTCACACTTTGTGTCCAGACTCTGTCTCTCTGCTCTGGGTTCAAAACCTGTGTGCTGCTGTGGTCCCTGGTTCACATTCCCTGTTTCTGATTGGAGGAGGATGGCGTCAGATCCACTGACCTCCATAGCGGTGTCGTTGTAGTTGTTATTGTTGCCTCTGGGGCCACTGGGCTGGAAGGCGGGGTCCTCTGTGGTGGCTGCAGCCGGTTGGGTGGTTAGCTCTCTGCTGCCCTCCACTGTTCTGGCTGGGTGGCTGGACCTAGAGTCCTGGTCATCTGCTTCTCCCTCTTCCTTGATGATCAGCAGGTCTGGTTCCCCTTCCTCTGTCTCTCCTGACTGCTGATGGGGTTAAGTGGGAGAGATGAGTGAGTGAGACAGAGCATACACTATCTACTGAATGGAGATATGGGCATGACATGGGATTTAGTAAAATTCATAGTAGTTGCCTTGTTGTTATTGTGTTATAATCAGTGGTGTAGTGGAGGGTAAACTCCACCTTTAGTTTTTTGTTCAAACATTTACACACTTTTTGCGCAAAAATGCATTGAAAGTATAGGGAGTGTTACTTTACTCAACATGAACGACGATCACTGTTTACCCACCTATTCTTTACCACTACATCACTGGTTATAATGTGCTGGCACACACGTCTATACAGACATAACCTCATCCCCAGGCGGAAGTGTCTGGTGTCCGAGACTATAACAGACATAAGTCTGTGACAGTTTGAAATCGGCTGTTAAAATTGGGCGTTACCTCATCACTTGTAGCATCCATATGCTTTGATGGAGAGACATCCTCTTGGTCCACGTCTATGGGCTGTCTGTCTCTTTGAATGCTGCTGTTCCCAAAACTCCTGTTGGAAAGTCTGGCTCTGCTTTGCCAAGTAGGTCCTGGAAATATAGGGGGAGGTTAATTTCACCCCATCCATCAATGGTGTTTTACAAAGTACAAAGCAAGCATAATGCATTCATGACGTATGTTATGTGTCAATAGAGCTAGAAGGATCCTAGCTGTGTTGACAGTACAAAGTAAGCATGATACATCCTCAAATCAAATTTTATTGGTCGCATACACATATTTTGCAGATGTTATCGGAGGTGCAGCGAAATGCTTATGTTTCTAGCTCCAACTGTGCAGTAATGCCTAACAATACAAAACAATACACACAAATCCAAAAAAGAAACATAAAGGATTTAAGAAATATCAGAACGACCAATGTCAGAGTCCGGAATAAATATATATGTATATAATGGTGTGTATAGACAACTTGTGTACAGCAGTATTTATATAGGATGAGCCTTGACTAGAATACAGTGTATATATATGAAGTGGGAAAAACAGTATGTAAACAGTATTAAAGTGACCAGTGTTCAATGATTATGTACATAGGGCAGCAATCTCTAAGGTGCAGGGTAGGGTACCGGGTGTTAGCCAGCTAGTAACAGTGACTAAGTTCAGGGCAGGGTACTGGGCGGAGGCTGTCTAGTGGTGACAGTCTGATGGCCTGGAGATAAAAGCTGTTTTTCAGTCTCTCGGTCCCAGCTTTGATGCACCCGCCTTCTAGATGGTAGTGAGTGAACAGGCCGTGGCTCGGGTGGCTGAGGTCCTTGATAATCTTGGCCTTCCTGTGACACCGATGCTGTATATGTCCTGGAAGGCAGGCAGTGTGCCCCTGGTGATGCATTGGGCTGACCGCACCACCCTCTAGAGAGCCCTGCGGTTGCAGACGGTGCAATTACAGTACCAGACTGTGGTACAGTCCGAAAGGATGCTCTCAATGGGGCCAAGTCGAATTTCTTCAGCTTCCTGAGGTGGAACATCAATAATACAGCTAGGCCCTAACTGTATTGACATTACATGCATAATGAATGTATTATGCTTGCTTTGAACTTTGTAAAACACAATTGATGGATGGGGTCAAATTGAATATGAATGTAATTTAGGCTATGTGCACACTGTCAAATTCAGCATTATCACCAACCTGTCGTTGCAGTCTCTCGATTGCTGTGTCTGTTCAGCAGGCGTATTCCATGGAAGCGGTTGTGGACGGACCCCTCTGAAGACTTTATTCTCTCTGCTCGAAACCTCGCGACCTGAAGTTCCATCAATTTCATTTTCCTCCGGAGAAATTCGTTCTCCTTGTGACTTTGGGACATCTTCAGGTGTACAACCGCAAAGTCATCGTCAACAATTTTGCAGATTTCGGCTACAGCCGCGTTGGCTAGCACCTCCATGATTGAGGCTATCTGTGCCTGGAACTCGACCACGGAACCCGACATTGTCCCCCTGACGCTTTGGACCCTTTTCAATATGAAAAGTCTTTATGTTTTCTATATTTTGATTGTCTACAGTTATCTAGCAAGCTACTAAAACAAATACAATCATATCATAAAGTAAAGATGGATCGCTAGCTAGCTTTGTTTTTAGCTGGTGAGATAATTTTTCCTTTTCCTCATCATCACAGTAATGTAATCATATGCTGAACTGTAGAGTTGAAAGTTGTACACCGCCACCTACTGTACAGGAGTGCTCCACAATAACAATGTTGTAGCTATGTAATAAACCAGATGTTCTCTGGTGTAAACAACATTTCATTATATTTCTAAAATAAAATATTTAACTATTTGTGGTATCTCTAATACAAAATAAACGACAAACAGTTAATTGACAAAAAAAATTGTAAATTACAACAGTATGACAGACTCCGGGATGCTGACCTTCTAGGTAGAGTTGCAAAGAAAAAGCCATATCTCAGACTGGCCAATAAAAATACAAGATTATGATGGGCAGTCTGAGATATGGCTTTTTCTTTGCAACTCTGCCTAGAAGGTCAGCATCCCGGAGTCGCCTCTTCACTGTTGACGTTGAAACTGGTGTTTTGCGGGTACTATTTAATGAAGCTGCCAGTTGAGGACCTGTGAGGCACCTGTTTCTCAAACTAGACACTAATATATCTGTCCTCTTGCTCAGTTGTGCACCGGGGCCTCCCACTCCTCTTTCTATTCTGGTTAGAGCCAGTTTGCGCTGTTCTGTGAAGGGAGAGATCTTCAGTTTCTTTGCAATTTCTCGCATGGAATATCCTTCATTTCTCAGAACAAGAATAGACTGACGAGTTTCAGAAGAAAGTTCTTTGTTTCTGGTCATTTTGAATCTGTAATCGAACCCACAATTGCTGATGCTCCAGATACTCAACTAGTCTCAAGAAGGCCAGTTTTATTGCTTCTTTAATCAGCACAACAGTTTTCAGCTGTGCTAACATAATTGCAAAAGGGTTTTCTAATGATCAATTAGCCTTTTAAAATGATAAACTTGGATTAGCAAACCCAACGTGCCATTGGAACACAGGACTGATGGTTGCTGATAATGGGCCTCTGTACGCCTATGTAGATATTCCATTAAAAATCAACCGTTTCCAGCTACAATAGCCATTTACAACATTAACAATGTCTACACTGTATTTCTGATCAATTTGATGTTATTTTAATGGACAAAAAAATTGCTTTTCTTTTGAAATCAAGGACATTTCTAAGTGACCTCAAACTTTTGAACGGTAGTGTATATATGGATTCCATCCACATCTTTACAGCCTATCAGTCTGATAGTCAATCTACAGTATCTTGTTGACAGGCAAATGGAAATTAATTCTTAATTACTGTTCTTTGGTCCACCACTGCAGCAATACAAATTCATAAGGATGTTTAAAATCTTCACTTGTTATAACTTGTAAATTATCAATACACTCTGGACCAAGCATCAAGCCAGTTTAACTAAATACACAACCCCTACATACAGAGGGTAGTGTTCAATGTGGAAACCATCCAAACTGTTAAAAACACATAGACCTAGTTTTCATATGAAAACCCCAGTAGTGTGGAGCCATTCCTCTTACAACTAGGGCCAGGAGTTTTTCCCTGGTCTGGTCACGTGGTGTGGAAAAACTTCTGCCCCTACCTATCATTATGTCGGGTGGAGTAGTATGAAGTTGCCCCTAGATTATGTAATTGGGTCAGTGTTGGATTTTTTTTCTTCCACTAATGGTTAAGGTTAGGATTGGGGAGAGGAAGCTGATCCTAGATCTGTACCTAGGGGAAACTTCACCCTGGAACACTCAGGGCAGCCCAACGTCCTGTGGCCTGCTGCCAGTGTGGACGAGGAGGTGCTTCTTCATGTGGCCGGACTGGGTGAAGCAGTAGACACAGTGAAACGGTTTCTCTCCAGTATGCACCCTCTCATGCATCTTCAGCTGGTGGCTGTGGGAGAAGCAGTGGGTGCAGCCGTGCGGTTTCTCCCCCGCGTGCACCTGCATGTGCCTCCATAGGTACTCCGGCTGGGGGAAAGGCTTACCGCAGAGGCTGCACTGGAGCTGCCTCTTGGCCCAGCGAGATGTTAGCTGTTGCAGTTGCTTTTCCATGTCTTTGGGGAACCTGTTGGAGAGTAATCCTTGGGGATGAAAAGTGTCCCCCTGACACTCAAAATGTAGAGCGAGGATATTTTTTGTTTGTCGCACCATTCTCTGGAAACCCTAGACACTGTCGTGCGTGAAAAGCCCAGGAGGTTCACTCGTTTTGTTCACTCGTTTTGCCCATTCAAACCTTTAATCAAACAGTAACTGAATGCCTCTGCCTGTCTGCCTGCTTTATATAGCAAGTCACGGCCACGTGACTCAGTCTGTAGGAACGATCCATTTTTGTGAACGGGGTGGTGTGCCTAATAAACTGGCCGGTGAGTGTATATTTAGGGTCAATATATATTTAGGTTCAATCTATATAAAGGGTTAATCTATATAGGGCCACAATTTGCATCATTTTGGCTCTGTACGCCACCACAATGGATTTAAAAGGAAACAATCAAGATGTAGACTTTCATCTTTAATGTAAGGGTTTTGTCAAAATTATTGTATGAACTGTGTAGGAATTACAACCATTTTTATACATAGCCCTCCAATTTTAGGGGCTCAAAAGTAATTGGACAAACTAACATAATCATAAATTAAATTGTGAGTTTTAATACATGGTTGCAAATCCTTTGCAGTCAATGACTGTCTGAAGTCTGGAACCTATAGACATCACCAGATGCTGGGTTTCTTCCCTGGTGATGCTCTGCCTTTACTGCAGCTGTCTTCAGTTCCTGCTTGTTCTTGGGGTGTTTTGCCTTCAGTTTTGCCTTCAGCAAGTGAAATGCATGCTCAATGGGATTCAGGTCAGGTGATTGACTTGGCCATTGCAGATCATTCCACTTATTTGCCTTAAAGTATTGGGTTGCTTTCGCAGAATGCTTTGGGTCATTGTCCATCTGCACTGTGAAGCACCGTCCAATGAGTTTGGAAGCATTTGGCTGAATCTGAGCAGGTAATATAGCCCTAAACACTTCATAATTCATCCTGCTGCTTTTGTCAGCAGTCACATCATCAATAAATACAAGGGAACCCGTTCCATTGGCAGCCATACATGCCCACGCCATAACACTACCTCCACCATGCTTCACAGATGAGGTGGTATGCTTTGGATCATGAGCAGTTCCTTCCCTTCTCCATAGTCTTCTCTTCCCATCATTCGGGTACAAGTTGATCGTTGTCTCATCTGTCCATAGGATGTTGTTCCAGAACTGTACTGGCTTTTTTTTAGATGTTTTTTGGCAAACGCTAATCTGGTCTTCCTGTTTTTGAGGCTTACCAATGGTTTACATCTTGGTGGTAAACCCTCTGTATTTACTCTGGTGAAGTCTGACTTTGACACAGATACGCCTACCTCCTGGAGGGTGTTCTTGATCTTGCCAACTGTTGTGAAGGGGTTTTTCTTCAATAGGGAAATAATGTCATCCACCACAGTTATTTTCCATGGTCTTCCAGGCATTTTGGTGTTCCTGAGCTTACCAGTGCATTCTTTCTTTTTAAGAATGCACCAAATAGTTGATTTGGCCACACCTAATGTTTTTGCTCTCGCACTTATGGGTTTTAGATTTTTCAGCCTAATGATGGCTTGCTTCACTGGCAGTGACAGCTCTTTGGACTTCAAATTGAGGGTTAACAGCAACAGATTCCAAATGCAAATGCCACACTTGAAATCAACTCTAGACCTTTTATCTGCTTACTTGTAAATTAACTAACGAGGGAATAACACACACCTGGCCATGGAACAGCTGAGCAGCCAATTGTCCAATTACTTTTGGTCCCTTAAAAAGGGGCTGACCACATATAAAAAGTGCTGTAATTCCTACACAGTTCACCTGATTTGGATGTAAATACCCTCAAATTAAAACACAAATCTTTTGTCATGCCCATTCACCCTCTGAATGGCACACTTACACAAGTCATGTCTCAAGGCTTAAAAATCCTTCTTTAACTGGTCTCTTCCCCTTCATCTACACTGATTGAAGTGGATTTAACAGGTGACATCAATAAGGGATCATAGCTTTCACCTGGATTCACCTGGTCAGTCTGTCATGGGAAAAGGTGTTCCTAATGTTTTGTACAGTCAGTGTATATTTAGGGTACATCTATATAGGGTAAATCTATATTTAGGGGCAATATATATGTAGAGGAAATATATATATACAGTGGGGAGAACAAGTATTTGATACACTGCCGATTTTGCAGGTTTTCCTACTTACAAAGCATGTAGAGGTCTGTAATTTTTATCATAGGTACACTTCAACTGTGAGAGACGGAATCCAAAACAAAAATCCAGAAAATCACATTGCATGATTGTTAAGTAATTCATTTGCATTTTATTGCATGACATAAGTATTTGATCACCTACCAACCAGTAAGAATTCCGTCTCTCACAGACCTGTTAGTTTTTCTATAAGAAGCTCTCCTGTTCTCCACTCATTACCTGTATTAACTGCACCTGTTTGAACTTGTTACCTGTATAAAATACACCTGTCCACACACTCAGCATTGAAGATGGGTCGTGGCTGGGTCTTCCAGCATGACAACGACCCGAAACACACAGCCAGGGCAACTAAGGAGTGGCTCCGTAGCATCTCAAGGTCCTGGAGTGGCCTAGCCAGTCTCCAGACCTGAACCCAATAGAACATCTTTGGAGGGAGCTGAAAGTCCGTATTGCTCAGCGACAGCCCCGAAACCTGAAGGATCTGGAGAAGGTCTGTATGGAGGAGTGGGCCAAAATCCCTGCTGCAGTGTGTGCGAACCTGGTCAAGACCTACAGGAAACGTATGTTCTCTGTAATTGCAAACAAAGGTTTCTGTACCAAATATTAAGTTCTGCTTTTCTGATGTATCAAATACTTATGTCATGCATTAAAATGCAAATGAATGACTTAAAAATCATACAATGTGATTTTCTGGATTTTTGTTTTAGATTCCGTCTCTCACGGTTGAAGTGTACCTATGATCAAAATTACAGACCTCTACATGCTTTGTAAGTAGGAAAACCTGCAAAATCGACAGTGTATAAAATACTTGTTCTCCCCACTGTGTGTATATATATATATATATATATATATATATATATACACACAAACATATATACACACACATATATACACACACATATATAGGATCAATCTATATTTAGGGTCACCCTATACAGGGTCAAGAAGCACCATGGAATTCTTTGAAAAATATTATTTATGGAATTATAGGAATTGATAAACAGGAATAACCATTGGTAAAATTGGAACAAAAGAACAGAATGTTTTTCACTCTCACAGTACAATGTCAGTATCTGCTATATCTTTAGTCTGAGGCACCTATATTGAACCATTATCAACCTTAACAGTCAATGTGAGTGATGCTGTTGGCCTTAACGGAGCCAAGAAAACGTATCTTTGTAGATAATGTAAATATGAACCACATTGTATTGTTAACGTATGAGACCAAGGCAAACATCCTGCAGACATATGACTACATTAGAAGAAATTACGTTTGAACTCATGATATTGCTATAACGGTTTATTTCAATAGGAATCTCTTGCTTCTGTGTCAGTTCTCAATGATGAAGCTTCTGATGTCTTTTCAGATTGCTGGATTGGGAGAACCTGCGCCCGCACTGTGCACAACTGAAGGGCTTCTCCCCAGTGTGTACATTCTGGTGCACTTGGAGCTTGCTGGGGGACACAAAGCTCTTCTCACACAAGGTGCAGGCGAACACCCGCTTTCTGCTGTGGACAACAGCGTGCTGCCGCAAGTCGCTCTCGTGAACAAACTTCTTATGGCAGCTCGGGCAACCGTACCGTCTTTCTATGGTGCCTGGTCTAATGTGTGTAGCAAGATTACTCGAGTGACAGGAAGTTGTGGCGCTTGGTCTAAAATGGCCAACAGGAAGTGAGGTATGAGCTGGTTGTTGAGTTCCTCTTCCTGGTATTTCAGAGTGTCTATGGAGGGTTGCCAACGAGCGCGAACTAGCTTTGTTGGCCTCACCTGCATTTCCTGTGTCAAGATGGATGCTTCTATTTAACTCTGTGGGTGAAACCAATTGCGTAGTGTTGTTTCTCATCGATTCGTGGTGTACAGGGCGAATCATTGGTGCGTTTCTGTTAAACACTCCCACTCTCTGCTTATGTCCAGTCCCATTGACCTGTGGTGTAGTAGCTGTACGCACCTGACCCCACGCAAAATCTCTATCTACCTGCTTCCCACTGGATACAGAGTCAATCACTATCACATGTTCTGATGAGGAATGGAACCTGTGGTTTTCTAACCCTACACTTCTCATTTCTATGGCAGAGCTAGTCTGCATTTCGTTCACGTCCCACTTTGTGTCCAGACTCTGTCTCTCTGCTCTGGGTTCAAATCCTGTAAACTGCTGGGGTCCCTGGATCACATTCCCTGTTTCTGATTGGAGGACGACGACGTCAGATCCACTGACCTCCATAGCAGTGTGGATGTTGTAGTTGTTAACTCTGGGGCCACTGGGCTGGAAGGCGGGGTCCTCTGTGATGGCTGCAGCCGGTTGGGTGGTTAGCTCTCTGCTGCCCTCCACTGTTCTGGCTGGGTGGCTGGTCCTAGAGTCCTGGTCATCTGCTTCTCCCTCTTCCTTGATGATCAGCAGGTCTGGTTCCCCTTCCTCTGTCTCTCCTGACTGCTGATGGGGTTAAGTGGGAGAGATGAGTGAGTGAGACAGAGCATACACTATCTACTGAATGGAGATATGGGCATGACATGGGATTTAGTAAAATTCATAGTAGTTGCCTTGTTGTTATTGTGTTATAATCAGTGGTGTAGTGCAGGGTAAACTCCACCGTTTGTATTTTGTGCAAAAACCTTCATAAAGACATTGGGTAGAAGTAAAATAATACACTAATACGAATATAATTTTACATATACAGTGCATTCGGAAAGTATTTAGACTCCTTGACTTTTCCCCATTTTGTTAGGTTACAGCCTTATTCTAAAATTGATTAAATAGTTTTTTTTTCTCCCCTCATCAATCTACACACAATACTCCATAATGACAAAGCAAAAGTAGGTTGAGAAATGTTTGAAAATGTATAAAAAAAATAAAACACGGAAATAGTATTCAGACCCTTTCCTCAGTACTTTGTTGAAGCACCTTTGGCAGCGATTACAGACTCAAGTCTTCTTGGGTATGACGCTAAAAGCTTGGCACACCTGTATTTGGGGAGTTTCTCCCATTCTTCTCTGCAGATCCTCTCAAGCTCTGTTAGGTTGGATGGGGAGCGTCGCTGCACAGCTATTTTCAGGTCTCTCCAGAGATGTTCGATTGGGTTCAAGTCCTGGCTCTGGCTGGGCCACTCGAGCATTCAGAGACTTGTCCCGAAGCCACTCCTGCGTTGTCTTGGCTGTGTGCTTAGGGTAGTTGTCTTGTTGGAAGGTGAACCTTTGCCCCAGTCTGAGGTCCTGGCGCTCTGGAGCAGGTTTTCATCAAGGATCTCTGTACTTTGCTCCGTTAATCTTTCCCTCATTCCTGACTAGTCTCCCAGTCCCTGCCACTGAAAAAGATACCCACAGCATAATGCTGCCACCACCATGCTTCACCGTAGGGATGGTGCCAGGTTTCCTCCAGACGTGACGCTTGGCATTCAGGCCATAGTGTTCAGTCTTGGTTTCATCAGACCAGAGAATCTTGTTTCTCATGGTCTGAGAGTTTTTAGGTGCCTTTTGGCAAACTCCAAGCAGGCTGTCATGTGCCTTTTACTGAGGAGTGGCTTCCGTCTGGCCACTCTATCATAAAGGCCTGATTGGTGGAGTGCTGCAGAGATGGTTGTCCTTCTGGAAGTTTAACCCATCTCTACAGAGGAACTTTGGAGCTCTGGCAGCGTGACCATCGAGTTCTTGGTCACCTCCCTGACCAAGGGCCTTCTCCCCCAATTGCTCAGTTTGGCTAGGCGGCCAGCTCTAGGTAGAGTCTTTGGTGGTTCCAAACATCTTCCATTTAAGAATGATGGAGGCCACTGTGTTCTTGGGGACCTTCAATGGTTAGAATTTTTTTGTTACCCTTCCCCAGATCTGTAGCTCTACACAATCCTATCTCGGAGCTCCACGGACAATTCCTTCCACTTCATGGCTTGGTTTTTGCTCTGACATGCACTGTCAACTGTGGGACCTTATATAGACAGGTGTGTGTCTTTCCAAATCATGTCCAATCAATTGAATTTACCACAGGTGGACTCCAATGAAGTTGTAGAAACATCTCAAGGATGATCAATGGAAACAGGATGCACCTGAGCTCAATTGCGAGTCTCATAGCAAGGTATTTCGTTTTTTTTTTTTTTGTAATACATTTGCAAAAATTCTAAAAACCTTTTTTTTTTTTTGTGTCATTATGGGGTATTGTGTGTAGATTTATGAGGGGGAAAAATGTATTTAATCCATTTTAGAATACGGCTGTAACATAACAAAATGTGGAAAAAGTCAAGGGGTCTGAATACTTTCCGAATGCACTGTATCTTAAAAAAACGTGTTTTCATGAATTGGTATATTTACTCTTGAATCCCATTCAAAAACAGCGAGGGACATGATCCAGGAAGTAGGCAGGACTTTCATAGTGTAACCTAACTGACATCAAGCTAATCCATAGCTTTTTTCCATAGGAATCTCTTGCTTCTGTGTCTAGGGATGGCACAATTACCGTATAACTGATGGCTATGGATGAAGGCTGTCATGAAAATGTAATAAACCATTAACATTAACATTTACATTTTAGTCATTTAGCAGATGCTCTTATATATATATATTATTCATATATTTTTTATTTTTGTGGAACTAACTGCTGACTGAAAACGGGACGGCCGGGCATTTGTGTGGTTGAGTCAGTTTCTGCCATATAATTAGGAATTAGAATACAAGAATGGACATGAGAGGTCTTATGACAGTATAAAATGTCAGCCATTTTGGTCAGGGAGTTGGTCAACCATGGTCAGCCAGTGTGCTGCGATAAGATGTTGTGTAAAACAATGAATCTGAAGATGATCTGCACAGTATGTTTATTAGCTAGCTAGCCAGCCAGTTTAAGTTGAATGATTTCCAATAATTGTTCAAATTAACTGCCAACATTCTATACAAACAATGCAGTCAATCCACAGCCATATACTGGCTGAAATCTGTTGATGATGGACTTTGACAAGTTGTAAATGCAACAAGTACTGATATTGTATCATAATATAACATTCACAGGTTTCCAAGAAAAGAAACATTGAGACATTGGAACAGAAAGTGTATACAACCTGTTTAAACTGTATTTATAATTATATGACAATATTTTAGGTTAACAATAATTCTATAACACAATTTCTGATATCACATACCTTACTTTTATTTTTCCTACATAAGTAAAACCAGGAAATGCATCACCTCTGCCTCTACTGCCAATCACTCAAATTAGACTGGTTTGGATTTCTCCCTGACCACAATGGATGCCATATTCACCTCATTCTAGAAGGTCATAACTAGTGACCACAGCCACAAAGTCATAAACCCTGCCTAATGCTACAATTTCTCTAATTAAAATGTTATTTTAAAACTAACCCTAACCTTAACCACACTTCTAACCATAACCTTAAATTCAAACAAAAAGCTAATTTTATTTTTCATGAATCTTTACGATATAACCAATTTTGACTTTGTGGCTGTAGTACCGAGTGACAACCATTCTAGAACTTTGAGGGTTTATTACATTTACATTTGACATTTTAGTCATTTAGCAGACGCTCTTACCCAGAGCGACTTACAGGAGCAATTAGGGTTAAGTGCCTTGCTCAAGGGCACATCGACAGATTTTTTCACCTAGTCGGTTTATGACATAGCCCCTCTAGTAATTTAATAGGATCTCTATGGTTTCGGCTGTAATGTGGACTCTCCAACTTGATGAAACGTTGTTGCTCCTTGCTGAAACAAGTCAGGAGCAAAGGAGAAAATTTGCAAATCAAACGGTTATAACGGAGACCGTGGTCATTTGGCTGACCAATTACAGTCATCCAAAATTCCTTGACCGTCACGGCCCTATCTGTGTCAGTTCTCAATGATGAAGCTTCTGATGTCTTTTCAGATTGCTGGAGTGGGAGAACCTGCGCCCGCACTGTGCACAACTGAAGGGCTTCTCCCCGGTGTGTACATTCTGGTGCACTTGGAGCTTGCTCGGGGACACAAAGCTCTTCTCACACAAGGTACAGGCGAACGCCCGCTTTCTGGTGTGGATGATAGCGTGCTGCCGCAAGTCACTCTCGTGGACAAACTTCTTATTGCAGCTTGGGCAACCGTACGGTCGTTCTACGGTACCAGGTCTAACGTCTGTGGCGAAATTACTAGAGTGAGAGGAAGTTGTGGTGCTTGGTCTAAAATAACCGTCAGGAAGTGAGGTATAAGCTGGTTCTTGAGCTCCTCTTCCTGGTATTTCAGAGTGTCTATGGAGGCTTGCCAACGGGCACCAACTAGCTTTGTTGGCCTCACCTGCATTTCCTGTGCCAGTGGTGCCTGTATTTTTCTCTGTGGGCCAGAAGCCGGGTGAAACCAATAGCGTTGTGTTGTCTCTCATCGAATCGGGGTGAATCATTGGTGCGTTTCTGTTAAACACTCCCACTCCCTGCTTATGTCCAGTCCCATTGACCTGTGTAGTAGCTGTACCCACCTGACCCCACTCAAAATCTCTATCTACCTGCTTCCCACTGGATACAGAGTCAATCACTATCACATGTTCTGATGAGGAATGGAACCTGTGGTTTTCTAACCCTACACTTCTCATTTCTATGGCAGAGCTAGTCTGTGTTTCTGGGCCCACTGAGCCACTCCCTAGGTCCATTACTTTAGTATGAGCAGCAGAGGCACCATCATCAGTCACTACTACCTCTCTCCACACCTGGTTTAAAGAATCTCTTAGGAGAGTGAGGCCCCCGCTCATATCACACTTTGTGTCCAGACTCTGTTTCTCTGCTCTGGATTCAAATCCTGTGTGTTGCTTGGGTCCCTGGATCACATTCCCTGTTTCTGATTGGAGGAGAACGGCCTCAGATCCACTGACCTCCATAGTGGTGTTGATGTTGCCTCTGGGCTGGAAGGCGGGGTCCTCTGTGGTGGCTGCAGCCGGTTGGGTGGTTAGCTCTCTGCTGCCCTCCACTGTTCTGGCTGTGTGGCTGGTCCTAGAGTCCTGGTCATCTGCTTCTCCCTCTTCCTTGATGATCAGCAGGTCTGGTTCCCCGTCCTCTGTCTCTCCTGACTGCTGATGGGGTTAAGTGGGAGAGATGAGTGAGTGAGACAGAGCATACACTATCTACTGAATGGAGATATGGACATGACATGGGATTTAGTCAAATTCATAGTAGTTGCCTTGTTGTTATACAGACATAACCTCATCCCCAGGCGGAAGTGTCTGGTGTCCTAGACTAAAACAGACATAGGTCTGTGACAGTTTGAAATCGGTTGTTAAAATTGGGACTTACCTCATCACTTGTAGCATTCATATGCTTTGATGGAGAGACATCCTCTTGGTCCACGTCTATGGGCTGTCGGTCTCTTTGAATGCTGCTATTTCCAAAACTCCTGTTGGAAAGTCTGGCTCTGCTTTGCCAAGTAGGTCCTGGAAATAATAAATAATACATTTCATAACTATGATGGTTTACTAAATGAGGATAATCTTCAATTTGACCTCATCCATCAATGGTGTTTTACAAAGAACAAAGCAAGCACAACACCTTCATGACATATGTTGTGTCAATAGAGCTACAGTGGGGGAAAAAAGTATTTAGTCAGCCACCAATTGTGCAAGTTCTCCCACTTAAAAAGATGAGAGAGGCCTGTAATTTTCATCATAGGTACACGTCAACTATGACAGACAAATTGAGAATTTTTTTTCCCAGAAAATCACATTGTAGGATTTTTAATGAATTTATTTGCAAATTATGGTGGAAAATAAGTATTTGGTCACCTACAAACAAGCAAGATTTCTGGCTCTCACAGACCTGTAACTTCTTCTTTAAGAGGCTCCTCTGTCCTCCACTCGTTACCTGTATTAATGGCACCTGTTTGAACTTGTTATCAGTATAAAAGACACCTGTCCACAACCTCAAACAGTCACACTCCAAACTCCACTATGGCCAAGACCAAAGAGCTGTCAAAGGACACCAGAAACAAAATTGTAGACCTACACCAGGCTGGGAAGACTGAATCTGCAATAGGTAAGCAGCTTGGTTTGAAGAAATCAACTGTGGGAGCAATTATTAGGAAATGGAAGACATACAAGACCACTGATAATCTCCCTCGATCTGGGGCTCCAGGCAAGATCTCACCCCGTGGGGTCAAAATTATCACAAGAACGGTGAGCAAAAATCCCAGAACCACACGGGGGGACCTAGTGAATGACCTGCAGAGAGCTGGGACCAAAGTAACAAAGCCTACCATCAGTAACACACTACGCCGCCAGGGACTCAAATCCTGCAGTGCCAGACGTGTCCCCCTGCTTAAGCCAGTACATGTCCAGGCCCGTCTGAAGTTTGCTAGAGTGCATTTGGATGATCCAGAAGAGGATTGGGAGAATGTCATATGGTCAGATGAAACCAAAATAGAACTTTTTGGAAAAAACTCAACTCGTCGTGTTTGGAGGACAAAGAATGCCGAGTTGCATCCAAAGAACACCATACCTACTGTGAAGCATGGGGGTGGAAACATCATGCTTTGGGGCTGTTTTTCTGCAAAGGGACCAGGATGACTGATCCGTGTAAAGGAAAGAATGAATGGGGCCATGTATCGTGAGATTTTGAGTGAAAACCTCCTTCCATCAGCAAGGGCATTGAAGATGAAACGTGGCTGGGTCTTTCAGCATGACAATGATCCCAAACACACCGCCCGGGCAACGAAGGAGTGGCTTCGTAAGAAGCATTTCAAGGTCCTGGAGTGGCCTAGCCAGTCTCCAGATCTCAACCCCATAGAACATCTTTGGAGGGAGTTGAAAGTCTGTGTTGCCCAGCGACAGCCCCAAAACATCACTGCTCTAGAGGAGATCTGCATGGAGGAATGGGCCAAAAATACCAACAACAGTGTGTGAAAACCTTGTGAAGACTTACAGAAAACGTTTGACCTGTGTCATTGCCAACAAAGGGTATATAACAAAGTATTGAGAAACTTTTGTTATTGACCAAATACTTATTTTCCACCATAATTTGCAAATAAATTCATTAAAAATCCTACAATGTGATTGTCTGGATTTTTTTTTCTCATTTTGTCTGTCATAGTTGACGTGTACCTATGATGAAAATTACAGGCCTCTCTCATCTTTTTAAGTGGGAGAACTTGCACAATTGGTGGCTGACTAAATACTTTTTTCCCCCACTGTAGAAGGATCCTAGCTGTGTTGACAGTACAAAGTAAGTATGCTACGTCCTATATAGAATGTCAATAATACCTCTAGGCCCTAACTGTATTGACATTACATAAATCATGGCTGTATTATGCTTGCTTTGAACTTTGTAAAACACAATTGTTGGATGGGGTTAAATTGAAGATTAATGTAATTTAGGCTATGTGCACACTGTCAAATGTACCATCATCACCAACCTGTCGTTGCAGTCTCTCGATTGTTGTGTCTGTTCAGCAGACGTATTCCATGGAAGCGATTGTGGACCGACCCCTCTGAAAACTTTGTTCTCTCTGCTCGAAACCTCGCGATCTGAAGTTCCATCAATTTCATTTTCCTCCGGAGAAATTCGTTCTCCTTGTGGCTTTGGGACATCTTCAGGTGTACAACCGCATAGCCATCGTCAACAATTTTGCAGATTTCACCTACAGCCGCGTTGGCTAGCACCTCCATGATTGAGGCTATCTGCGCCTGGAACTCGACCACGGAACCCGACATTGTCCCCCGACGCTTTTGGCCCCTTTTCAATGTAACAGTCTTTGCGTTTTGTATATTATGGTTATTTACAGTTATCTAGCAATCTATTAAACTACACGTCGAGTTGCAGCTAGCTTTGTTTGTAGCTTGCTGGTGAGAATTGTTTTATTTTCCTCACGTCACAGTAATGTAATCATTCTTTCTGGCCTGTAGAATTTAAAATTGAACACCGCCACCTACTGTACAGGAGTGCTGCACCACAACGTTGTAACTACTACGTAATAAACAACATGTTCTCTGGTAAACAATATTTCATGATTTTTCGCAAATAAAGCATTTCACAATTTGGGGTATTTCTAATAGAAATAAACGACAAAAACGATTTCAATTACAACAGTATGACAGACTAGCCTAGATATGCATTCCATCCACATCTTTACAGCCTATTAGTCTGATAGTCAATCTACAGTATATTGTTGACACGCAAATGGAAATTAATTCTTAATTACTGTTCTTTGGTACATCCCCGGAAAACAATACAAATTCATAAGCATGTTTAAAATCTTAACTTGTTATAATTTATACATTATCAAGCCACTCTGGACCAAGCATCAAGCCAGTTGAACTGAAAACACAACCACTACACACAGAGGGTAGTGTTCAATGGGGAAAACAATCAAACTGTTAAAAACACATGGACCCAGTATTCATATGAAACCCCCAGTAGTGTGGAGCCATTCCCCTTACAACTAAGGCAAGGAGTTTTCCCCTGCTCTGGTCATATGGTGAGGAAAAACTCCTGGACCTGCCAATCATTACGCCGGGTGGAGTAGTATGAAGTTGCCCCTAGAAGCTGATCTTGTGTCAGTTTTTGGGACAAATGGTTAAGGTTAGGATTGGGGGAGAGGAAGCTGATCCTAGATCTGTACCTAGGGGAAACTTCACCCTGGAACACTCAGGGCAGCCCAACGTCCTGTGGCCTGCTGCCAGTGTGGACGAGGAGGTGCTTCTTCATGTGGCCAGACTGGGTGAAGGACTTCCCACAGTAGACACATTGAAACGGTTTCTCTCCGGTGTGCACCCTCTCATGCATCTTCAGCTGGTGGCTGTGGGAAAAGAGCTTGGTGCAGTGGCTGCAGCCGTACGGTTTCTCCCCGCATGTGCCTCCTTACGTACACTTGCTGGGGGATGGGCATTCCGCAGAGGCTGCACCGGAGCTGCCTCTTGGCAGAGCATGACGTTAGATGTTGTGGCTGCTTTTCCATGCATTTCGATGAAGAAGTGGAGCCTCTGTTGAAATTCGGCAACGGGGCTTGCTTCCCTCTTTGGGGAACCTGGTGGAAAGTAACCCTCAGGGATGAAAAGCTGTTTCGGGTGGACAATCCATTGATATCGGGCAACTTGGACCTCAATCCCACAGTTGTCCCTTGCTCTGCATTTTGAGTGTCAGGGGGACACATATGTCTGTCCAGACTCTATTCCCCCTCCCCATCCGACAGTAGATTTGGCCTAAAAAAGAGGCGGGAGGAATTAAATTGACAGGCATGAGCTCTACAAAGCTCTGAAACAAATACAGGTCTATTATAACTCAGCTATGACTAGGCTATATTATTGATCCAACGGCTTGAATTAAGTTGTTAATCTACTGACTCAACTCATGGACACAGAAAATCTCTAGCTTCTCTGTCCTCAAAACCTTTCTCTACCGCACCTGCTGTCTCTACCTTTGAATGCTCTGCTATGAAAAGCTAACTGACATTTACTCCTGAGGTGCTGACCTGTTGCAATCTCTATAAACACTGTGATTAATATTTGACCCTGCTGGTCATCTATGAACGTTTGAACATCTTGAAGAACGATCTGGCCTTAATGGCCATGTACTGTTATAATCTCCACCCAGCACAGCCGAAGGGGACTGGCCACCCCTCAGAGCCTGGTTCCTCTCTAGGTTTCTTCCTAGGTTCCTGCCTTTCTAGGGAGTTTTTCCTAGCCACCGTGCTTCTACATCTGCATTGCTTCCTCTTTGGGGTTTTAGGCTGGGTTTCTATATAAGCACTTTGTGACATCTGCTGATGTAAAAAGGGCTTTATTAATACATTTGATTGATTGATAATTCCCTGTACTTTTGAAAGGAAAATGACCTTTCCTGCCTGATTTAATTTGGAAGCAATGTGAGAACATACAGTTAAGTACCAAAATAAATAAAATAAACACCAACAAAGTGTCTTAATAGGGCATTGGGCCACCACGATCCAGAACTGCTTCAATGCACCTTGACATAGATTCTACAAGTGTCTGGAACTCTATTGGAGGGATGCGACACCATTCTTCCACTAGAAATTCCATCATTTGGTGTTTTGTTGATGGTGGAAAACACCAATTGGGTTGAGATCTGTTGACTGAGATGGCGATGACATACGGTTCACATCATTTTCATGCCCATTAAACCATTCAGTGACCACTGGTGCTCTGTGGATGGGGGAATTGTCATCCTATGGGGGGGGGGGGTATACAGAAATGTGTGAATCAGGCCTTCATGGTCGAATTGCTGCAAGGAAACCACTACTAAAGGCCACCAATAATAAGAAGAGACCTGCTTGGGCCAAGAAACACCAGCAATGGACATTAGACCGG